CTCACACTTGACCCGTTCACAGTTTTGCCTCCAAATTCACATGGTTTCTGGGGCCAAAATTCTCTTCCTGCCTCCCAATAGCTATAAAATCAATAGGTAAAACCAAGCATGAAGAATGGAAAGTTCAGCAAAATGTCTGACGTCCTTTTTTACAGACATGAGCCACCAGCCCCTTCCTATATGTAGTATCTTTAATATTAAAAGGTCCTATAGGCAACCACTACATGTAGCATCTTTATATAAAAGGTGCTATAGCTAGGCATGGTGGCTCACGCCTGTAATCCTAGCACTCTGGGAGGGCGAGCCGGAGGATTGCTCGAGGTCAGGAGTTTGAGACCAGCCTGAGCAAGAGTGAGACCCTCTCTACTAACAATAGAAAGAATTAGCTGGACAACCTAAAATACATAGAAAAATTAGCGAGCAGATGGCACATGTCCTATAGTCCCATGTACTCAGAAGGCTGAGGCAGGAGATACTTGACCAGGAGTTTGAGGTTGCTGTGAGCCAGGCTGACACCGTGGCACCCTAGCCTGGGCAAAATAAAAAAAAAAAAGTCCTATAAAAATAAAAAAACATGAGAATGCAATAAGCACATGAAAGATGCTTCTCACCAGGGAAATGAAGCTAAAACAAAACATTGACAAACACTAAGGTTTGGAAAGACCTGCAATAATTGGAACCATTGTACATGCTATCTAGGAGATAAAAATGGTACGGCCACTGTCAAAAGCTGTCAGGCATTGTCTACAAAGCTGAATGTATGCCAGGTCCAGTAACTAGAATGTTCTAGCAGTACTACTTATAGTACATCCATAAGTCATGGTATACTTGCAATGAAGAGCTACACAGCAGATGAGAATGGATATCCTATAATTATACAAGATAAACCTTATAGTTACTCCTTAAGCTACACATCATATATGTTTATGCATTTTTCTCTGTGTTACGGTTCACAATAAAGGGGGAAGTCACAAAAATGTTAGTAGCTTAGTGAACAGTGAATATAGTAAAAGAAAACTGAACACATGTTTTGTTTAACTTCCTTTCCTTTGATCTTTTGGTTAGCTGCGATGCCAATAAAACTCAGAAACTCGCTGCTATCAGGAAAACCAGAACGTGGGTTGATGAACTTGTTTTAAATATCTCATCAACGGGCCTGAATGAACAAGCCTGAGTAAATCTGCACAACCAGCATTAAGACAACAAGGAAGGAGGAATACTGCAGAAGTCTGTCTCTCTACAATGGGAATTCTTGAGTGAGGTCTTTTTTTTTTTTTTTTTTTTTTTTTTTGAGACAGAGTCTCACTCTGTTGCCCAGCCTAGAGTGCCGTGGCATCAGCCTAACTCACAGCAACCTCAAACTCCTGGGCTCAAGCAATCCTCCTGCCTCAGCCTCCCGAGTAGCTGGGACTACAGGCATGTGCCACCATGCCCAGCTAATTTTTAATAGGTATGATATATTAGTTGGCCAATTAATTTCTTTCTATGTATAGTAGAGACGGGGTCTCGCTCTTGCTCAGGCTGGTTTCAAACTCCTGACCTCGAGCAATCCGCCCGCCTCGGCCTCCCAGAGTGCTAGGATTACAGGCGTGAGCCACTGCACTCGGCCTTGAGTGAGGTCTTAACTCTTCTCTAAACCTCCTCGGGGATGTCCTGATTACATCTAGAATTTCCCCTGAAAACAGGGGTTCTTACCTGGAAAGAAGTCTGGGGTATCCATGAACTTGATGGAGGAAAACGTTACATCTTTATTTTCACTAATGTACCAGAAATGTAGCCTTACTCCCAGTTGCAAATGCTGACAACAAATGGCAATAGTAAAAGTAGTACCTGCAATTTTCCCACCAATGTAGGACTGTTACTTTTTATGTGACATTACAGTTGTTGCAGGCATCTTGAAATATTGTTCACATTCATCACCACTTGGAATGATAGCAGATCTTATAATTTGGTGTACTAATAAAATAGCCCATATATTACTGCATCTCAGTTTTGTTTCACTTTAATATATGGTGATAACTGCATTTCAGTGTAATTGGCTCCATTGCAATCCTGTGTATTTGTGTGTGTGCGTGCATGTATGCTTTTAAAAATATTCTGAGAAGGGGTCAACAGATTTAACCAGATGCCAAAGTGTTCCCCAGAACAAATTACTTAGGTTAAGAACCCCTCTCCTAAAGAAATGTCAGTGGGCCAGGCACAGTGGCTCACACCTATAATCCCAACACCTTGGGAAGCTGAGGTGGGAAGATCACTTGAGGCCAGGAGTTCAAGACCAGCCTGGGCAGCATAGCAAGACCCCATCTCTAAAAAAAAAAAATATATATATATATATATATATATATGCACACATATATATATATGTATATTAGCTGAGCATGGTGGTGCACACCTGTAGTCCTAGCTACTTGGGAGGCTGAGGCAGGAGGATCACTTAAATCCAGGAATTGGAGGCTGCAGTGAGCTATGATGATGCCACTGTACTCTAGCCCGGGCAGTAGAGCAAGATCCTGTCTCAAAAAGAAAGAAAAGAAAAGAAATGTCAGCAAGTCTGCATTGACTGCAGTCCTGAATTTCTACAATAGCAAACAAGAGATGACAGAAAGTCCCCATCTATACAGAACTGTTTTCTGTAGCTTAATTCCATGTCTTTAGAAACTCACTTTCTCTGTGACCCAAGGACTATCCATATCACAGTCCAATGACCTCAAGAGTTGCCACACCCTAGTCTGTGTGACCCCAGGAGTGTACACACTCAAGTCTGTAACAGTGTCCAATCCCCAGTCAGAAGTGATGTTTAAACACTGGAGTGTGTTTATAGGTGTGTCTACACTCCAGTCTCTGACCACAAGAATAACCACACCCCAATCTGTGTGACTCCAGGAATGCCCAAACCCCACTCTATGTGAGTTTCGGAGTGTCCACACCACAGTGATTTAACCCAGGGGTCTTCTCACCTAAGCCAGTATGATCACAGGAATGTCCATACCCCAGTCTGTGTGGGCCCCAGGGATGTTTGGCAGAAGTGTCCACACAAAAGGCTGTGTGATTGCAGATGCATCCACACCCATTGCAGTGCAAATCCAGCAGTGCTGACTCGTGCAAGACCCACGCTCTATGAGTCCAGAAGTGGCAATGGCTTGGTCTGTGAGACCATGGGAGTTTCCACAGCCCAGTCTTGGTGGTG